AAAGTCACATCTCATCCTTAATTTTTACAGAGTGCTGAACATTGAATTTGGGTCCTCCTGCCTGTACAGCAATCTCTTTATTACCTGAATAACCCATCTCTCTATCTCCCCCAGCACTGATCTAATCTACAATACACAGTAGATATCTGATCTTTGATAGGTGTTGAAAAACACAAGAGAGATTGTGATATTGCACACAGCATGGTGCTCAGTTGCAAGGATGGGAGCTCTGTTCATGGGAAAAGAACAATGGAGACTTCAGTAGAGATTTGGAGGATGAGAAGAGAAAGAGTAAGAAGAGAGAATCAACAGAATTCACTCACTAGTAAAGGCTCTTGCTTTGTTAAGAATGATGACCTGAATTTGTCCCCTAGGATTGACATCTGGAAAAGATCAGGAAATTGATTCCTGGAAGTTGTTCTCTGGCCTATGATGATTTACACACACACACACACACACACACACACACACTCACATATGTTCTGGCACATGCACAGAAATACACACACAAAGTAAATAAACAAATAAATGTAACACATTCATTAATTCAATAATTAATAGATTTTTGAAGACAGGATTTATCTGTGTAGCCCTGGCTGTCCTGAAAGTTGGTCTGTAAACCAGGCTAGTCCAAAATTTACAGAGAGCTTTTTGTTTCTGCCTCTGAAAGAAGAAAAACCATGGAAAGGGTAAATAGCTTGAAGCTTGGCCTTCTGACAAAATAGAACAGCTTCAAGGACTTTAGCCTAAGCACCAAAGGGGAAGTAGTCAATTTGGAAGTGATGGAAGTATGAGCACAGGAGCAGCAGCTCACTTGGTTGACAGCACTCTGCTATGCAGGACAACTAGAGTGGCAACATAGGTGGGATTTATTTTAATGCTGGGAAAAGACTTGCTAGTATTTGTCTTGTTTTTGCTTATTCTATTATCAATCTCTTTTGGAAAGTACAGCTCTAATGTTATTGTCAAACTTATCTTAAAGTTGGAGACTGTGTGAGCTTGAGATGCTTTGATTCTAAGATGCTGAGATTCTGGATGTTATTTGCAACAGCAAAAGCAGCAAGTGGTAGGAGTTAGGGCATGCTAGGAACAAAAGATCCCAGGGAAAGCTGTCTTTAAAACTGGATCTCACCCAGCTGGAGACAAACTGTATAGAACATATGGGAGAATGGTATTTTGACTCCTCAACTTGGAAAGACTCTTTAACTATTTATTTTAACTGTTTGGACACATGTTGACAGGACAGATGCAGAAAAGAGATGCTGCTAGTCATTCACCCTGGCACAATCTATGCCAAGAGACCTAACCTCTGTGCCCAAGTAGCTGTCAGACTTGAGGGAGGTCCAGTGCAATTTTGGTATTGTTGAAGTCCATCAAATAAGTTAAAGCAATAGAGTGTTGAAGGTCAAATGGTAAATTCTGAAAGTTAACTAATTTTATACATATTCCTGTGGGGGGGGAGTACATGTGTGTATATGCATATTGAGGCCTGAAATTTTCTTCCAGTTTTATCCTTAGATGTAGGCCACCTAGTTTTGTGAGACATGTCACTTAAGGGCTAAAAGTAAAGCAATCTAAGCTGGCTGGTCAATTACCTAAGGGATCTACTTTTGTCTGCCTCCCCTGTGTTGGAATTATTACATACAGCTTATAAAAATATACATTATGAGCCAGTCAAGTACAACATCAACTGAGACATTGCCTCAAACACTGGGAAGTGAATCATTCTCAGAAATAAAATAAATACATATGGACCAGGGATAGAGCTTTATAGGTTAAACATTAACCACACAAGCCTAGTAACCCATATCCAAATAGTTACAACCCACATGAAAATATGAATGTGGAGGCAGAGAGCTAACATCTTAGCACTTTTGCAACAAAATTAGAAGCTGAGATAGAAGAATTTCCGAGAAGTTTCTTGGTCAGGAATATATTGCCAGTAGGCAGAATAAAAGCAGTAACATTTTGCTTCAGCAAGGTCAAAGGCAAGAATTGACTTCCCAAAATGTTACTCCAATATACATGTTACCAGTGACATGTGTGCATCTGAGCATTTGCAGTTTCTACCTATCTATTGTTGTCTCAGATAAATAATTTTTAAAAGAAGAGATACATATGACACACAGCAAAGCAGTGGTGATAAAATGTTAACAATAAATTGAGAATGAGATATAAGATATTATCCCAAAATAAAAGCAATTTGGGGATCAGTTCACAGATGTTGTAAGTCATAACCTGATGATCGTCTCTTGAACAGAAGTCAATTGGTGGATGAATAGGTAGATTTTTAAAGAGTTTGGAGAAAAGCATGATGAGACAAAGAAAAATATAGAGGTTAAGTGAGTTGGTTCCTGCAGCTGTGGGTGACCTAGGCATGTACTGACTTTGGCTGGTCTAAGGAAATAGGCACACTTGAGCCATTCCTTAGTGTAGTCAGAATATAAATCACTGAGAATCCTTCTCTGACTCAGAGAAGTGATTAAAAACATTACCTTTAGTCTCTATTCCAAGGAACAACAAAAGATACTTCCCTTCCTTCTCATTCCTGGGAATTCTGGAGTCCAACTACATCAAAATATTAATGATGAGGAATGCAAGGCAGTTGGTCAGTAAATGAAGAACAATCATTCTATGGTTCTAGCAGTCATCTTAAAAACAAAAGAAAAAGTACTATTTATCTGAGGCTCCTCAAGAGTACAAATAATAACCATTATGATATCCATGCGTTTAGCAGAAAGTCATGGTAAGTAGTTTTATCCATTAAGTGATTCCAGGAGAAAAAAAAATGAAAATAAAGTCATAGAAAAGAACTGTGAAGTATGCACTGTCTTAAGACTTTCAGACACTTAGAAGTATGAAGTAAGAGCTTTCAAATCAGTATCTTTGAACCTGTGCCATTTCTGAGGAGTAATCCTGTAAATAATACATGGTAGTGGTGGGAAGATGGCTCAGTTGGAAGTTCTTGCTGTGCATAAGTATAAGATTCTAAATTTGTCCTTAAAACTCATGTAAAACCTAAGCAAGAGTGCTATGTGCCTGCAGTCCCAGAGCTAGGTGATAGGCAGTGACTATCCTGGAGTCTTGCTCACCAGCCGGTATATCAGAAAGAGTGAGTTCTAGGTTTGGGAAGAGACTGCATATCAGAAAAAAAAAGTAGGCAAAGATGTAACTGACAACTGAATTCAGCCACTGGCCTCTCCACATAAGTACAAATTAGGACATATACATACACGTATGTAGACACATATATACACACACTTGCACACACACCACAAAAACCATCCACATCTTGTGGACCATGTCAAGTATCTTTGATCATTCTGCTCCAAATCTCATCATGCCTCCATCATGACCTCCTTCCCAGACAGTTTCACTTCTAATTTTGTGTTTCCTTAATTCAGGTAATACAATCTAGGACTCACAAATGAGAGGAAATATTTGGAATATTGAATACTAGATCAACCAGATATATTAGCTATACAACTCCTGGGGGTGGTGGGGTTATCTAAAGAATTTCAAGTCTCTATCCCATAAACACTTGCACATCAGTATTGGTTTCAGCACTTTTCACAGTAGCTAAATCATGGAACCTTCTTAGGGCTCTGCTCAAAGTGAAATAGATAAAAAAAAATGCAGTTCATACACAAGAAAAAATTATTTTCAGCCCTGAAACTAGATGAAATTATGCTAACCATAGGAAAATGAATGTATTTTCTTTCTACATGTCCCAGCCCAATCCTGTTCTCCCGTCTCCTGACTTTTTTCATCAGTGCTCCAATCTAGCTTATGAGTTCTTCACAATTTCCCCACAGGACACTGTTACACTCCTAGATATTCTTCCCCCGTTACTCTAAGAACCTGTCTTTCTGTTGTTCTTCTATAACTTGGACACAATCAGCCCAGGCCTTCAATCTGAAGCTTGCCAAATGCTAACCACTGATATGTAGCCATGAATATTTACAGCCAATATTTTACTTTTTAGTCTCATTTCTTATGATCTGACATATTTTGCCTCCTATTGGAGAAGACAATAGGGCAGTATCTGGCCAAGTATATGTGAGAAGATGTAAGACTCAACCATATTTCAGTGGATACCTTCAAGTAAACACAGGCTTGTATCCTTAATACGTATTTCCTTCATGTATTTTCTTCCCTTGGCCATAACAATATTCAGATAAAGAAACCTCTTCCACTAATGAAGACAATGAGAAAGAAGGCTTGACAATGTGTGAGAGACTTTGCTGTATAGCTATGTTGTAGTTTGAATGTAAAGATTCTCCCATAAGCTCATGTTTGAAAACTTGGTCTCTGGCTTGTGGTGCTGTTTGGAAAAATTTCAGAATTTTTAGATGATGTAACCTCAATGGAAGAGATTGGAAACTGGGGACAGGACTTGAAGTTATAGTGCTTTATGCCATTTCCTATACAGTCGGATTCCTGAGTGTGGATAGAAAGTGATCTGTCGGGATTTCTGTTCTTTCTATCATGTCTTTCCCACCTGTTGCCATGTCTGCCTCCTTTAGGATGGATCATATTCTTCTGGATACCCAAAATCAAATAAATCTTTTCTCTCTTAAGTTGTTTTGATCATAGTGTTTTATTATTGCAGCATGAAAATAACTAAGACAGACATCAAGCCACTTGTCACTTAGACCAGTGGTATATATGAGTTACTTGTTGCAACAGTACAACTCAAGCCATCAAGACATTGTCATTTCTTGCAAAGCTTCCCTGTGTACTTATAGCACCATTTCTCTTTTTCAATTTAGCATATGTCTGACCTTACTTTGTTTACCCTGTTCTTATAAACTCCAAAAAAATATGACTTGTGTCTATTATTTTCCATTGTATCCTTCAGTATTTTGAATATTGTATCCTACTTGATAAGTCATGCTAAAGGGATAAACAGTGCTCCCACCCATAGTGAGTAGTCAGGGTCCCCACTTTGCATTCCTAGATTTGTGCCTACTTGCTGTAGGCACATTGTGTATACTCACAGTCATGACAGGTGGTTCCTGTGTAACCAGTATCACTGCAGTTGCAGTAGAAGGTAGTCCAGGTTTGGTCACAGTGTCCTCCATGTTCACAGTAGTTTGGCAGACACCTAATGGGAGGCAATGCAAAACAAACAAGCCAAGATGGTTGATTCAAAGAGGCAAGCAAAAATTTTGTGAGCAGCAACGGGAAATGGATCTGCTAATGTCCTATAATTGTCAGAGTTAAATGATATGGAAACCATGAAAATGTGCTTGTTCTGCTGAGTAGTAGAGATCTCAGAATTGAATTCCACCTTTAAGTAAAACATTAAATGCTATTGCACAGATAGCAGAATGTTTGTGGGAATACTGAAGAGAATAGTATATTTATTGTAGCACAAAGTACAGAGGGTTATAACACCACATTGGAACATAATGTGGATTTTTAAAGGAAGGGAAAAAAGTAAAAAGCCCTGGAGATTACTGTCTGTGCTTCTTTGGGGGACATGGAACATGGTTTAAAGATTAATGCTTCCTCAACTAACATGCCAGGAAGTTATGCCTGTTCAGAAAGTGTTAAAGTCATCCCAGTAACCTTCACTACTTATGGCAAACCAGTTTATTGTCCTTTTGCCAAAGTTCAAGTAAGGTGCTTTATATCCCCACACCCCATCCACCCCCACTCATCACTCACATACCCTGTGGAGTAACTCTCTGTTGAACATCTGCAGCCAGGAGCCCTCTTTTCTTGGTTATTCTGTCATTGCCTTGCCTCTTAACATCCCCACTTATGAATTTTTTCTCATATTTTGAGTATTAGTGTCTGCCTACATGTTTATAGATGTACCATATCCATGTGAACCTGATGTTGGAGATGGCCTGAAAAGGGTCTTAGAACCCCTAGACATAAAATTACAGATGCTTGTGAGCCATCAAGTTGCTGAGTCAACTCTCTAGCTTTACTTCTGGACATTTCATACCCTGAGATCATTTTTCTCAAGACTCCTCTAAGGCTGTGTTGATCATCCCCTTTCATCTTGTCTACCCTAATGCTGAATCAATGAGGCCCCAAGTATCCTGTTTCTGCCAGCCATGAAAATGATTATTTTTAAATATTCTTTTTTACATTTACTTACTTACTTTCTTACTTGCTTATTTAGCAAGTATAAATGTGGTGGAATGTCACACCTGCCATGTTGGATGTGTATAGATCTGAGGATAACTAGAGGGAGTCAGTTCTCTCCTTCCACTATATAGGTCTCAGGAACTGAACTCAGGTTAGAAGTATTTACAGTGAGCATTTTTACCTTCTGATCCACCTATTGCTTCAACAAGTACATATTTCTTTTAACAACAGAAAGATAAGCAAATGAAGGTAAACAATGTTCTTTATATGCTTCCTTTAGTTATGATGGCAAGAAAATTGCAAGTGGCCTAATTTGGCTTATACTGTTAAATGCAGGATTCCAACATGTGTTATAGTCATGACTTCATGCATATGAAGGATGTAAAATTGACAGAAAAGGGATCTGTTAACCTACAGCATGCAGCACAAGAGAAAGAGGAAGTCCTGATGACATTTGTACATTTAGTTTCTGTTGTTCCCTAAGGCCTGTTTTCTTTTCCAGACCTTTAGAGTACTTTCTATAATATGTTTTGCAGTCTCTGAGATAAACCAAGTGTTTTCCAGGAGAATATACATTTCACTCATATTGGCAGGAAGAGACTATGTTACTTTGCACTATCAGGAGGTTATCTTTTCCTAGGAAACCTCATAGGTTCTGGAATAAATAACTTAATCAGAAAAGTGTTTGTCTTACAAATATGAGGGCCTGAGCTCAATCACCGAGAAACTTTATATATGATTTTGCATGCTTGTAATGCCAGAGCAAAGGAGACAGAGACAGTCAAATCTCTTATACTCATTGGCTATCTAGTCCAGCCTATTTGTGGAGTTTCAAACCTGTGAGAGAACCTGTTTCAAAACCAAAATCAATGATGCCTGAGGAATAACACCTATGGGTATCTTCTGGCCTCTATATCAATAGGATGTAACTCAACACAAGTGCTTTTGTACATACATCAATATCAAAACACAAACACACACACACACACAAACATACACACATACACACACACAGTATACAATTCTATCATTATAAAAACACCCTAACAATTTTTTCTCATATTATACAAATTATAATGATTTTAGTGCAATAATCTCAAGTCCAGCTGAATATGGAGAGAAAGACATGGGACAAGATGGCAGAAATATTAGTCCTTTAAAAATATTTTAAATAAGTTTCCCACAGACCTTGCACTAGTGTTAATAAACTCAACATTGAAAATGTAGGCCTCAAAGTCATTTGTCTACGGTAACTAAAAGAATCAATGATATATTTCTCAGACTGAAAAGCACATTTGGGAAAGGGAAAAGTCTAATATTTCTAGAATAATGAGCAAAATGAGAGAATATTCAAGGCTTCCTTATAGCACAGTGTAATTGGGACCAGTGCACATAGACTAGAAAAGGGCATCTCAACACACATAGTTGATATCATATTTATTAACCTAATTTGCTTATTTGAAAATGCTGTTTCATGATCATGATTTCCAGATTTTTTAATCAGTTCATGTTAAATGCTGTTTCTTTTCTTTGCACTATCAAGTGGCACAAACTGATTATTTTAAAATCAAACACAGAAAGTGAATGTTTTATAGCTATAAAAGAAGACAAACATTGTGTGTGGATACTGGTAGTCACAACCATAAGAATATCAATTAAAATTGTCATGATAGGATTGAAAATATGGTTCAATGGTAAAACACTGCCTGTATAAGTATGAGGAATAGAGTTTGTATCCCTGGCACCCATGTAATATTCCATGTATGCAGGACAGCACACTTTTGATTTTTGAACCCAGAATGCAGAGAGAAGTCTCCGAGGCAAGCTGATTAGCTAGAAAACAAAATGCTCTCACTTTAGCATCAAATGAGAAACCTGACTCTACAAGGTAGAAATCAATAAAGCAAACACTTAAAGAACTAAAATGTATTTCAGTTTCTTTTGAGGTTTTTTTTTTTCCTATTGTAATGTTAAGTACAGCCTTTATGACCTGGATGTCCCAAAGGAGAGGGTATGTAACTACATCTTGGCCCTAAATTACTTCTGATTGGTAAATAAAGATGCCAACAGCTAGTAGTTAGGCAAAAGAGACATAGGTATGGTTTAGGTTTCCTAGGATTGGGCATCAGAGAGGGAACACAGAGAGAAGAAGGGGCAGGAGGAAGAAGTGAAGCCACATGGGTTAGGAGTCAAGAGAATGTGGCCCTGAGTGCTGGCCAATATTATTAGCAACGATAACAATTTTAAAATAACTTGAGGCTAATATAGAAATATAGTTTACCATCAGAGGTGTACAAAAGGTGGCACACCCATATAGTGGAGTGCAGAAGCAACTAAAATGAAGAGGGATATTTGCATGTAGGAGAAAGAGGAAGTCTCCCAACAAACAACATGCTAGTAAGTGAAACGAGCTATGTGGAAATGGCCCACTAGGCAAGATTGTTTACAAAGACCAGAATTTAATTTTCTAGCACCAGGTCAAAAGCCAAGCAGTCTGTTCTTGCCTGTAACTCCAGCATGGTGGGGCTATAGAAAAGTATATCTATTTCAACTTGCCTGGCCAGCTTAACCTAACATTGAACTTCTGGTTCAGGGAAAGACCCTGTCTCAAAGCAATAAGGCAGAGAGTGATAGAGAAAGGCACTCATATCCTGTTGTGGCCTGCAGATACAATCACATAGGCAGTCTTACACTCACATGTATGTATCACATATACAGGATGCAAGGTAAATGTGTAGTTGTGTTGCATTCACTGTTGTTATTTAGAGAAAATAAGACCTGGAAGAAACAGAATACTTACATACTAATGGTGGTTAAATATGAGATCAGAAACAGGTTTTTGATATTGTATTGTGCAACTCCACATAAAATCCAGGATCTCATGCATGCTAGGCAAGCACTGTGTTATTTTTTAAGATCTAGAAAGGCTATATTAACTTTTATAAATCCCTATACCACTCAGTGTATTTTACAGTTGGTTTGGAAATCATGTCTTGCCTCATAATAGAAATGCTGATGGGAATATATTCTTGAAGCATAGAATAAGTACTGTGGAATGTACTTACACAAATTAAGACAATAAAAGGTCATCAGGGACAGAATACTGACAAGTTAGGTTCGTATTTCTAGAAATTCATTGGCTAAAGCATCTTCACACAGCAACTGTATCTTGTGAGTGCATGTGTGTATGTTTGTGTGTGTGTGTGTGTCTGTGTGTGTGTGTTATATTAACTTGTGTATGGGGTGGTGTGCTTATATATGGATACATATGTTGTGTTTGTTTAAGGACAGAAGTATGTATATGCATATTCATGTGAAAATCAGACATTGACTTCTGGTATTTTTCTCTCATTGTTTGCAAATTTACTGAGTCAGGATCGCTCAAATGAACCCAGATCTGGTTGATTCTGATAGCCTATCTAGGCATCTTTCTCCAAGGATTCACCGCCTCTACTTCTCACATGCTGGTATCACATGGGATGTGTCATACCCACCCAGCAGTTATATAGGTGCAGGGGATAATCACCTTTGTGTGGTAAGAACTTTATATACTGTGCAATCTTCCCAGACCTGCATAAGCAGGTTTTAAATTTTATTTTCACATGTGATGGTAAAGAGAAACACATTCACAGGAGTAATGGTCTCAGTTTTCAGATGGAACCAACTGGACCAAACTAAGATAAGCTGAGGTGGTATAGTGTCTGAACAGGAGGGTACTGAAACTGCATGACAGCCAACATTTCAGTGGACCTGCCAGGTAAAATCTAGGGTTATTGCTGGGGCCCAGTTTCCATAGCAACCATATAGTAGTACAGTAGAGGATCACTTTATATAAAAATCCTAAGGTCCAATGTGTTCCCTCATTTTCATCTAGAATAGATCTGGCATTCTTAGCCATTCTGCTTCTTTTCCTGACTCGTAGAAGTAAAATTAAATAGAAGAGGCTTATGCTCTTATTAAATGAAACCCTTCTGGTAATACACTCCTAATGAGTACCATTCA